TTCAGTTCTAGAAAATATACCGGGAATAAACAACGCCAAGTCCAGATGGACTTGGTCTTTTACCAAGTTTTGTGAAGGTATATAACTTCAAGTCCAAATGGTGTTTTATACCTCTGAATGAAAGTGGACCTAGTATTCCCCTTCACCAGGAGGAGATAGTTGGACAATCTAACGCCACTTTTTCTCAATGGCGAGGTCATTCCATTTGTATCGGAGTTGAAATATTTTGGCATTGTCCTTGATGAAGAGAGATGTAAGAGATGGCCGATTATTTTGTATGCTGATTGGTTTTTCAGGTCAGCATACAAAATAATCGGCTTCGTTGAGAAACTAGGTTCATTTGGTCGAGTTCAAATAGGTGTGAGCCACAATAAATCTTTGCGGGTTGCGGTGGAATTTCGAATAGATCTACTCACTTTGGACCTAACCTAACCTAACTTAGTATTCTTTCCAAAGTGTGTAACAAACTTACAGTTGGTCTAGGACATAGTATTCTATACCTCTAGATAAAGTGATCAAAAATGAATAAAAACACCTAATCATGTAGTTTTGATAAAATAATAAACATACCTACGAGGGATAGTATATAAAAATTAACCTGTTCCAAGACTTTACGTTTGCATTAATAATTATGTAGAAAATGAATTCCTCCGTTACTTTCGGACCTCACTGTATATATTTTCATCAATGACCAACTACAATTCTGAATTTGCTCATTTACATATTCAGTTTTCGTCACTATAATCCAATGGCACCACTCACTGAATGGACCATAAATTTTTTATCGCTTTGCATCAACTGATAAAATATGTAACAGCACCCTTCGGTAACAAATATTAATGTCGCGATAAAAGTGGATTTTAATGAATCCGCGTTTCAACGGCTAATAGACCATTTTACCCCCATTAACCTTATCCGCGAAAATGGGTTTCCAATCTTGTCGAGATAGTCCTTGCGCTCAAGCAGAGTTGACGACACTACGGAAGGAAAAGCTCGAAAAACGAATAATTGTGAAGTGAATTATCATTCTAGATTTGTTCACTGCACTCATTGTTGTCGTGGGCAGATATGTGTCCCAAATGGGACATATGTGTCCCGGAACATCGAAGTACACCATTGATGTTAATAGTGTTTCTGTAATCTTGCAAGAATTTCTATCGGATGTTGTGAAATATCCATCGTAGCATTAGCCAGGGTTGTTTTTGTTTTCATGCTACATTATAGGAAGGCTGATATATTCCATTAAAAATAAAAATTGAGTTCGAAATATTCATATTCTGAGATGGATATTTCAATTTTCGTATGAGATCAATATAGTCAGTGCAGCAAGAGACATTGTTTGAGATTTGTTTCTATGTAGTCGAAGCAGATTTCAATTAGTATTGTTTTTCTTGCGGTTTCCACATATACTGATGATCTAGAGTTCGTAGGCTAACACACAGATGAATCTATATTATTTTTCAGTTAACCCTAACCTTTAAAAGGCACGGGTACAAAATTCACAGCTGTCGGACAAGTGTGGTAACGACAGCACACCGGAGTAACCAAGGCATCGGTTTTCTTCAAAAAGATAAACGTCTCCGAACCGGATATAATAATGTCATGACAGACAATTCCGTCCAGAGAGACTGCTTAGTTAGATAGAGCTAAATGAAACAACTATATGATGGAATCGGCAGATACTTTATGGAAATCCATAACTAACGTATTCGCAAAACACTTTATTGTGAGATTTTCATTAGATCTGGTGAAAATTTTACAAGTGTTTTTGGAATACACTAATGAAACAGCTTTCAGTAAAAGTCAGTTCAAACTCCCATGTCGGACAAGTGTGGTAACGACAGCACACCGGAGTAACCAAGGAATCGGTTTTCTTCAAAAAGATAAACGTCTCCGAACCGGATATAATAATGTCATGACAGACAATTCCGCTTTCGGCTTTAATGAGTTTATTGGGGGTTGAAATGGACACTGATACGTCTTGGCACAATCATGTCGTTGAAAATGCAAAGGCTGCTCCTCAAAAGTTTGGAACACTGTTCCGAACCAGAAAACCATACACTATACACACTTTTGATGGTTTATAAAGCTCAAATCAGACTTTCTCTGTATGTTCCGTTAGTTTGCTCCGCTTCAACGTCTCAACTAGGGAAGAGAAAAATTTAAACTAACCGAACCACTGCCTGAACCACTGTGCATGCTGTTTTTGGCAAGTTGAGCAAACCGGCCATCGGGTGCCTGCTTCCACGTAACCCCGCTGGATACGGGAATGACAGAATCACTTGTGATTCTGTTATTCCCTAACTGAAGGTCATCTCAACGATGGCTTAATGCTAAAGTATGTGTATCCGTGCAGAGAGGATGAATGAAACTGAGCCTATCAGCTGTCTCTACGGAACCTTCGAGATACTAGGCGCCCTCTCGTCGAAGCATCGCCTTGTCACGGTAATGCGGGGCTCTGCTGTGATTGACCTTCTTTCACTAGCTACTCGTGGGACTTGCATGGATAGAGTAAACTTAAAAATTATTTCTGACGCTGAGCCTATAGAGGAGATGGATATCGAGCTTAAGACTTCAACTGACCTCCCTGTGAATTTAGTTCAGGAGCGAGTCTACAGAGGAACTGGGTGTCGAGTTCACGAGTTCACTGAGCTCCCTGTGAATTCAATTCAGGATCGAGAGCTTCTCAACTCCCCACCAACTCCTGATCCAATAAATGAACCTAAAAAAAGGTTTGGTGGTGCAGCTAGGAAACGACTGAGTGGTCTCTTCAAGAGCGGGGTATCTTATAAAACCGCCTTGCATCAAATTCTTGAGCGGCGTACGCAGAATCTGTCCCACCGAAACCAGAGGCGAAAAAGTCCTGCACGGTTGAATATAAGGCATCGTCAGGTGTAGCTGACGTGCAAAAACCCTCATATGGGAAGGTTGTCGCGGGTATCAAAGTTGGAATCTTGAGCATATATTTGCGGTGGTTGCGGTGGAGGGTCGAATAGACCCACTCACTTTGGATCTAACCTAAACTAACCTAAGTAGATGATTCGATGGCGTTGACGATTGGACGAAGTGGAAAGTTTGGCTTGTGAATCTCAGGGATGCCGTAAAGTTTAGGTCGATAACGTTCCAGGTTCTTTCCATATATTTCACAGAAGGTCGTATTTGAGCCTTATAATTCTAGTAACGTGGTTGTGCCAAAACTAATTGGTTTTCTTCAAGAAATTGGGCGGCTCCTCCTCATGCTTCATAGATCTTAGATATATAATAGAGATAATATTGACCTCCTGGGGCTACGGTGAAGTGAACTCGTCACACTGATGGGCTGTTTGAACGACTGAATAGTTTTTTTGTCTGACTTGTCCATTTAGTCCAAGTCTCCAAAAAACACTGCAGCCTCTTGGGCTTATTGAGTTTATTCTCCCATTTTCTCATGACACCCATTCCATCAGTCTCGTTCCCTGTACTAATTTGTTAGTAACCGGTTAGTAACCCTGTAATCATTCTGAGCCGATCCCTACTTCATTGAAGTAGTTCTTCAGTTTTTTCTCGGACGGTTCCCTAATGAAGGTTCTACTGTGTTTGTTGCCAATATTTTTACAGGCGCTCTTGCTGCCTGTAAAAATATTGATCCGCTCATCTCTTTGAGGTCTCAATTTAATAGGCCTTGCACACTGCAAGATAGCATACACTTCCGCCTGAAAAACGGATGTGTATAGTCCTAACGGATAACTGTAGTTCAGATTTCTATCCGCTCGGTATATTCCAGCTTCCGTTCCGTGTTTGGTCTTCGATCCATCTGTATACCAGGTATTTTTTCCAAACATGTTTTCGGGTAGACTGAAGGTCTTCTACTTTTCACGGCTCATGATTTTGGCCGTGAAGTTTGTGTTGAAGGTGTACTTCGGTGTCATGTGGTCCGTGTACATATTCAATATGTGCTCCTCCACTTGTTTCGAAATTTCTGTTCGGTCCGATCTTTTGTAGTTCGTTGAGTTTTCCAGTCTGAATTGGACCATCGTGGCCTACCCCATTATCACAAAGTGTAAAGGAGGTAGATTCAAACTAGGCAAGTCTTTGCATCTTGCCTAGTTTGTTGATGGCGGTCGCCTGCTTCATCTTTAGCCACCAGACCAGAGAGACTGCTTAGTTAGATAGAGCTAAATGAAACAACTATATGATGGAATCGGCAGATACTTTATGAAAATCCATAACTAACGTATTCGCAAAACACTTCATTGTGAGATTTTCATTAGATCTGGTGAAAATTTTACAAGTGTTTTTGGAATACACTAATGAAACAGCTTTCAGTAAAAGTCAGTTCAAACTCACAACAACCCCAACTTGCAACATGAATGTTCATATCATCTAATGAAGATTTCCGCAAACTCAAAAATGGAATTCAAGCCTCCTCATTACAACCCCTATCCGTAAAGAAACGCACGCTCAGAAAATGGCTCGCCTGAACGGATCAAGGGATATATTTTTAATAAGGAGAAAGTGACGCGAACCCCTTTCGAAGTCGAATCCCATATTTACACACCGGAAAATGAAACTGTGAAAAATGTGGAAACAAACCGGATTAAACGTGAACTCAAGAAGTATTTATGTTATACTGATGAAAACCTGGAGGCTCTGTTCTCGCCCTACTCGATATAGAAAATGAAGGAGTGTCAGGTCTGAAATTCATCTCAATATTGACGGGTCTGGCCCGAAGGGACTGGAGAATTGCGGGGAGGAACATAATATTTCACGGTCGGTGGTTACTTTGAGACCTTTTTTTGATTTGTGGGGATCTTCAGGAAAAGTGTATCGAAATTCAGAGTGATTCATCTGGACATACAGAAAATAAATTATTATCTATACGGGGTATTCAATTCCAATGTCAATTGTCAATTCATGAAATCCAATAGTCTCTCTATGGAATTACTGTTTTTATATAATGTTATGAACACAAAATCATTGATATTTCATCGGGAACAAGAACTGATGTATGTTTTTTTCAGCAAACGCCATGTACGAATCAAGTATGCTTGGGGAGTATGATGGCCCTGCCCTTCCGAAACGAGTTGAGAACAACCCCGGAAATTTTGAAACATGCCAAAGATTTCCTGGATCAGTACTTTACGTCAATCAGAAGGTGAGTATTATCATTTTCTTCTGAAATCTTTTCCTCGTCTCCCTAAGTAGTGTTTTCATTGTGATGATTACTATGTGTGACAAAAAGTATTATCGATTTTTCACTTGTCAATGAAAATATAGAAAATAAACAAGTAAATCCTGAAAGGAACTAAATAATGATAATAATACAACCCAAACAACCGCACCCCTTACGCTCTCGATCCTTACACTCTCGATGGACAGCTCGATGGAATGGTTACCATTGTATCTAGAACCACGTTAGCTATACTACTATAATATTTATTCCCGTAGGAAAGAAGAATAGAGAACAATGTAGTAAAAAGCTGAAGGTGAATAAATGAGTACTTGACAGGTGTTTCTCATACTTATTTCAAAGAAATGCAATGCAATAAACCTTATAAATAATGAACATACTGACTGACAATTGCGGGAATATGAAAAAATCTAATGAGTATCAGACTTGTCTAAATCTGAAAACAAATATTTACAAATCATTCGCCACACGCATGTACATGTGTAAATATAAATTAATGTAATGGTTGATGAGTGTGAATGGTATAAGATTGTTTGTATGCCATTTAAATGACATAAATGTTATAAGCGGTGTGTTGGAGATTATAATAAATAAATAATGTGAAATGAACAATCCTGATGTACTAATATAAAATATGAGGTTCTATTGTAAAGTAAAAACAAGATTATGGCTTCCTACTTTCTCATTTCCATTCAAAAATTGTGGGAAAGAAACAAAGCAATGACTATCTCATATTCGATATTGTGTAGCGAATCTATGAATGCTTTAATGAAGGAGTAATTCTAAAAAACCCAACTGAATGAAAAGTATGTTTACCAATGTGGAAACTACAAAACAACTTCCACGAAATAATCTGAAAACTCAGATCCAGCCAGAACCTTTTTCAAGATTATAACTTTTATAATTAATCTGATTATATCGTTGAGCTACCCCTTCGGGAAGGAATAATCGAAGTTAATTTTAATTTCGCCTAAATGCATTAATCTAGCGGATCTGTCGGAAAATAACAACAGAATTAACGAATGGTAATTGGTTTATTATGGTTTTTGACGCGTAAACAGATTATGTTCCTGCTTGAGAAAACACCTAAAGAAAGCATCAGTTGGGGTGATGTTTGAATTCCAAACCAGCTCGTCGATAGTTTATTCATTTATACTCTTTACACAGGGTGCTGATTTGTGGAAATTCTCACGAAATCACCATCAAAAATGAAATAAATATAAGAAAAGATATTTTGAAATATGCATAGTGTACTCGGCTGGCTTATTGATGAGAGGATTTTATTAGTTGTTTTACCCATTCATCATTCATCCAAATAATGGAAGAAGAATAAAAAACTTAATCAAATATTCATTGTAACGAAACGGGGAAAATACTTCAGGAATAAACATTATACTGTTATCTGTTGTCTACTGTTGTCTTCTTTCGTTTGATTCGAAAACAGCAGCAGTGTGAGACCCTTATTCGTTCAGATCTCAATCAAAATCTCAAACAAACCTCTCCATCATCAAAATGTTGGCCACTTCGACTCTGTGCTCAACGTTAATCGAAGTCTTCTTCAAACTGACCCGTGAGAGGTTAACTGGAATACTACACAAGGGTTGGTCAGCTCCGCAGGGTTGAAAGTTTCGTCACCGGAGAATTTTTCCCTGCTCGATTGTCTGACGAGTGAGACATCCGGATTAACAGCCCGCTGGGGGTTGTTTTACAACTTGTCCGGAAGGGGTGATATGTCTGCGAATTGTAGTAGTCCCACTTCAAGAATGGGAGTTTCGGACACAGGAATGTTGAACTGTCGATGTTTCGGATTTAACATTGAAGCCATTTTCATGAACTGAAAGAAAGGGGAAAGTGTGTTGACGTTAACGTGTCAATCCCATGAGAAGAGCAACTGATCCTCGTTCTATTCTTTTGGTTCATTGAAATCGTTTCGAACAGTGATCAGTATCGACTTTCTATATTTTAAGTTTATATGTGATTCCAGTATTTTCATATTGAGTTCGTAATGTGCATGTGCATGCTCAAATATCAATTTCAAATTTTATGGAAAATACTACCTCAAGAGTTCGAAATTGTATTGATCAATTTCGATCCAAACATTTTTTTGGTGGCCTAGACTCCAATTTTTTCTTCAACGAGTTAGCCTAGCTCAATGAGGTATCAAATCAATTATCATAGCTGGAATACAGTCTTGCCACAAACTGAACCAAACTACACACACGTTGTCTGTTCAAAAAATGGGGCGACTTTTCATTTCTCTGTAAAATTATCCATTCATTCATCAATTTATAATTTATGTCTTTCGAAGTAGTCCCTCTCAGACATAACACAGTTCTGTGCGGTTGTGTCTGACCAAAAAATTGAGAACAAGATATGACGAATGAGCATTTTCGTAATGCAGAAGTCACAAATTGTTTTTCCACAAAACCGAATGTTTTCTTCGTATTGCTTGTCGCAAGCGGCATATAACTTCAAGATAATGCTCCTTATTAGCAGTACAACTACGTGGCAAGATAGATTAGTAGAATCCAACCTCACACATAAGTCAATAACATTTTCATCGGACAGTAAAGCGGAGTTGGAAGCTCTTGGCCCTTGCATAGAAGGGCGCTGCAAGCACCCTCACCAGACCCGAACCTGTCATTAGCATCGCTTAAGACTTTGCCAAACAATTATTGAACACCTGGATGGCAAAAAGATTTATGGACTTCTGGCAAGATCTTCCAGTATTGGCTCACTCCAAGGCGTTCATGCACCTTTCGAAGCTTGAAACCATACAGTTGTTGGACTACAGTGGGAATGAACACTATGATCAACAGGCCTCCTTACAAGTCACTGTCATTTGAATCATCATATGCAGAGTTTCGGACTGTCGGAAGACAGTGTGCGTCGCCTCTGTTGGGAGAATGATGAAACAGCAGAGCATGTACCTTGTGCCAGAGTTCGGCAGAGCCGTACTCCACCATCTGACCTAGAAATTCACTCACCATATATAGTGATCGGCTTCGTCAAGGAGCTGAGTTCATTTGATCGAGTTTGAGTAGTTGTTGAGCCACAATAAACACTTGCACGTTGGTTGAGGTTGAGAGTCCACCTCACTTCTGACCTAATCTAACGGTGTATCATACCCATTTGAAGTAATCTGAATAATTGATGTTGACTCCTTTATGAAACTATTGAATTTTCCATGATAACGAAACACGAAAAAAAAGTTCGATCCAGTAACCAATAAACATATCACGTATTAATTGAACACCATCCGTATTCAGTTAATATTCCATTTATTTCAATTACTATGAATTTGTTTATCTTTTTTGTTTGGTCATCACCATTACCATTAATTCAATTTTCGTGTGTTGTATTATCTTCCATTCTTCAGTCGTTCAGGTTGACTGAAATGCTTCCTACCTAACCTAACCTAACTTAACCTAACCTTACCCAACCTATCCTGACCTATCCTAACCTTTTTTCTACCTTAGTCGCTTCCTGTGCTATTCCCCAGTACCAACGTTAGACATTGCTCCAGAGATTGCTGGTATTTGGCTCAGATGAGAAAGCTTTATAGCGCTGTGGAATGCCCTTTCCTCATAAGACAGTTCGGAAGATGGGTTAAAGTCCTTTATACCCCGGTAAAACCCCTCCTTCTCTCGCCTGCTAAGTCACATTGTACCCCGTAACCTAACCGAACGTAACATCTCCTATCCTAACCTATCCCAACCTAACTTTACCTGATCTAACCTAAACTACCTTTCTTTACCTTTTTTTGCCTTACCTTATTTTACCTTACCTCACCTTATTTTACCTTTTTTTTTGTCCGGGGGAAACCCAGCTCATGGGTACCGCCGCTTATGATCTATCGCGAACGGTAGTGTCGGACTCCTACCGACTAAAACCCCCCTGATCTGCTTCACGTAACCGGGAGACTCCCTTAGGATATTACATCAGCTACGTGTAAGTGTTTCGTCGTTCCTTTCCGATATTAGCAAAGGACTACTGCTGACTTCGCCTTTTCTCGTTCTCTTTGTGTAGCATAATATTACTTATCATATGGTGCACTCTGTTCCATTTTGTGTGGCTTTCTTTCATGTATGAGATTACGTTTTCCTCGTTTACCTCCACGTCTTCCCTGGAGTGCTCCCATCTCCTACAATAGAAGATAGTTTGGTTTGGGTCGTCTTCCTTTCCGCAAAAGATGCACAAGGCGTTTTCCGCTTCCCCGATACGGTGGGTGTATGTCCTGTAAGAACCGTGTCCGGTTCGGAACTGTGTCATGTGGTAGTCCACCTTTTTGTGTCTACATTCCGTCCACACGCTTATATCGGGGATCAGTACTTTCGTCCTTTGTGCCACCGCTGTATTTGTCCTCCATCTATCCTGCCTCTTCTCGAGTGTGTTCCTTCTCAGTTCTGCATTCATTTTCCTGTTCCTGTTTTCGGCCGTCTGGTACTGTTCATTCCTCTCGTGGATTTGGAGGTTATTCGGCAACCTAACCTAACCTAACCTAACATAACCTAACCTAATCCAACCTATCGTGACATAACTTAACCTTTTTCTACCTTAGTCGCTTCCTGTGCTATTTCCCAGTACCAACGTTAGACATTGCTCCAGGGATAGCTGGTATTTGGCTCAGATGGGAAAGCTTTATAGCGCTGTGGAATGTCCTTTCCCCACAGACAGTTCGGAGACTCACAGGCCGATGGATGGAAGTCCTGTATAGCCCGGTAAAACCCCTCCTTCTCTCGCCTGCTAACTCACTAACCGAACGTGACATGTCTTAACCTAACCTAACCTAACCTAATTTAACCTAACCCAACACAAACTAACTTTACATAATCTAACCTAACCTAACCTGAGCTAACCTCACCTAACCTTATCTGAGCATAATAAGTTTTAATGATAGTATAAGGACGATTACAATAACCTAGACATTCAAACTTGTTTTTTGTTAGAGACAACTCATTATA